CTGAAACTGGAACTGGTCAGAGCAAAGTCCCATTTTCCGAGACTTTTCTGCTTAAATTAAAGCCTTCAGTCCTAGAGATCCATCCCTTTATTGCTTAAAGAAGCCAATCTTACAGAGAGTCTATCCATCCGTTTGCCCACCAAACCTATTTCAGGTGATGCCGAGGCAACCATTCGCTTCCAACTTCGCTTAATGTCTGCATATGGGTCCCATCACTTAAATCCAACTTAGACTCTCCTTTTATAGATGAATCCTATAAACAGAGACTGGTCACTTCTCTGATGCTAACACAGTCCCATATATAACAGCCCATGTGTGACTCAGTTCTTATGTAGTAACTCCTCCTTGCCACCAGAGGACAAATCTCCGCTTGTAACCTGGAAGAGTCTATGATGTTCTTGGTCACATGATCCAGGTCTTCTTCTACTTCCTGAGAGAAGCTTGTACTTTGCTTTTCACTCTTGGCTCCTTGCTGATCGCCATTTTTAAGGTTGTTTATTTTAAGCCAAGTTTGCCCAAGTCTCAGAAAATTGGCAGATCCGCTTATATAAATCCTGGAGACTCCCTGCTATGGTCTAATTCCTTTTAAAGTCTCCATCTCTTCTGCAAAGATTTTTATTTTCCATTTATTTTGTTCTTGCTGGGGAGAAGTCCCCCCCTCGCTTATTTCAGAATGGAGTTTGTTCAATTCTTGGTGTTCTCGCTTCACTGGACTCACTCTGCAATGTCCTATTGCTCAAACATCCCCAGGTAATGTTCGCCAAACCCCCAGCCGCTTGTCCCGGTGTGCGTTGCTTTGTCCCATTCGGGAACTCAGGGGAGGAACCTTCAGGGCAGATGGGGATGCCTTCTCTCACCAACAGCATGCCGGGGAGGTGGCAGTTCCCCAAGCCCCATGGCAAGGGACACTTCGCCGGGCCCCAGGGGGAATGCACACATTCGCACCCCCTTCCTTCCCACTGGTTCACGGATTGTGTCCCGGGAGACAGCCGCCATCAGCACGCCAAAACCGGAAGTCCAGGGGACTTTCTTTTATATATATAGATGACACCTCTGCAGGTCTTAAACTATAGATCACTGGCTGCAAAGCTTTCAATCTAAGTCCAGTTTTTGCCATTACAGTTCTTCTAAACAAGCAGTGCGCGCCTTCCCTAGACACAAGATCTGAATGCTACTTGCCATTGGGTCCAGGAGACAATAAATGCTTTGCTGGAGATGTAATTAGTAGCAGCCTTCCTTGAAGGAAGCAGTTTTGAAGCCCCTGCTGAAGAAGCAGTCCTAGATCTTAAAGAGCTCAGTAACTGTTATCCTTTAGCACATAGTGCTTTTTTAGGCAAGTTGTTCAAGTGGGTGGGTGGCTAGCCAACTTTTTTCAATATAGCTTCAGAGCCTGATTTTGGGAATTCAAATTACTCTGTCACAATGATAGAAGAAGACACTTTAAAATAGTTGAGTGGCTTTTTATGCCACCAGACATGGTGGTGCTGGTCCTGTCTACCAGAGCAGTACCAGAAGATGATGCTAAGGGATAGCTGTTGAATTCTGTGTTATGCTATGGTGTTCCTCAGGGCAGAGTTTCATTCTGTCCCCTATTCTTTTCAACAAATACATGAATCTGCTTGGTGAGGTCATCCAGGTATTTCAAATGAAGTGTTGGTAGTGTACTGATAACACCCAGTTCTACTTTTCCTTATCAGAGTCAGATGAATTAGTTAATGTGCTGGACCTATGCATGGAGGGTGATAATGGGCTTAATACAAATAAACCTAAGTCCTGAAATATTGTTGGTCAGTGATGCAGCTGATCCAAGATTGAAGTGTCATCTTATTCTAGATTGCATTTCATTTCTCCTAAAGGAACAGGTTTATTATTTGAGAGTGCTGTTGCATCCCATTTTGCAGATATACGCAAAGATTTACTCTGGCTCATAACATCTCTTTGGTAACACCTTCAGCTGGTATGCCAACTGCACCCTTCCTTGAAAAGCAAGACCTTGCCATAATTACCCATGCTCTGATGGCATCTTGGTTAAATTATGGCTATGCATTCTCTATGGGGCTGCCTTTGAAAATGGTGTGGAGGCCTCAGTGCAAAATGCATCAGCCAGATTGCTGATTGGCATTAATTATAGCAATCATATTATGCCAGTCTTGCAACAGCTATTTGTTGTTGTTCAGTCGCACAGTCGAGTCCGACTCTTCGCGACCCCATGGACCAGCTCCCTCCAGGCCTTCCGGTCTTCCGCCGTCTCTGAAGTTGGCTCAACTTCATGTTCGTTGCATCGATGACACTGTCTAACCATCTCATCCTTTGCCGTCCCCGTCTTCTTTGACCTTCAATCTTTCCCAGCATCAGGGTCTTTTCCAGTGAGTGCTCCCTTCTCATTTGGTGGCCAAAGTATTTGAGCTTCAGTTTCATTATCTGGCCTTCCAGGGAACAGTCAGGGTTGATTTCTTTGAGGATTGCCTGATTTGTTCTTCTTGCAGTCCAAGGGACTCTCAAGAGTCTTCTCCAGCACCATAGTTCAAAAGAATCTATTCTTCGGCGCTCGGCCTTCCTTATAGTCCAACTCTCGCAGCCATACATGACTACTGGGAATACCATTGCTTTGACCATGCGGACTTTTGTTGGCAGGGTGATGTCTCTACTTTTTATCATGCTTTTGACTTCCTACTTTAGCATTCCAGTCCCCTATGATGATGAGGACATCATTTTTTGGTGTTAGTTCTAGGAGGTGTTGTAGGTCTTCATAGAACCGGTCCACTTCAGCCTCTTCTGCATCAGTGGTTGGGGCATAGACTTGGATTACTGTGATGTTGAATGGTTTGCCTTGGAATCGGACAGAAATCATTCTGTCATTTTTGAGATTGTATCCCAGTACTGCCTTTTGCACTCTCTTGTTGACTATAAAGGCCACACCATTTTTTCTACGAGATTCCTGTCCACAGTAGTAGATATAATGGTCTTCTGAGTTAAATTCGCCCATTCCTGTCCACTTTAGTTCACTGATTCCTAGGATATCGATGTTCAGTCTTGCCATCTCATTTTTGACCACGTCAAGCTTACCTTGATTCATAGATCTTACATTCCAGGTTCCTATGTAATATTGTTCTTTGCAGCATCGGACTTTCCTTTCACCATCAGACACATGCACAACTGAGCGTCCTTTCGGCTTTGGCCCAGCCGCTTCACTCTTTCTGGGGTTACTTGTACTTGTCCTCTGCTCTTCCTCAGTAGCATATTGGACACCTTCCGACCTGAGGGGCTCATCTTCCGGCATCATATCTTTTAGCCTTTTGATACTGTCCATAGGGTTTTCTTTGCAAAAATACTGGAGTGGGTTGCCATTTCCTTCTCCAGGTGGATCAAGGAATCTAAAGAATTGCCTGCTGCTGCACACATGCCCATCAATTAAGATCTTCATCTAAGGCCCTGCTGCCACTTCCTTTGTTATGAGAGTTATGAGCAATAAGAGAGAGGTCCTTCTCGATGTGACATCCCAGTAACTGAATGCCCTTTTCCCTCTAGGTGTATCACTTGGTATCAGACTTGATAAGCTTTTGGTGCTAGGTAAAGACTTATTTGCCCAATCCAATCCAATCACCTTTATTGACATAACTATAGCTTTAAAAAAGATAACAGTACAAGTCAGCCCAGACTTATTTGTCCAGGTACTTTGAGTTTATATTTTTATGAACTGATTTTAAAAACACAGCATCTTATGTTGTGTAAGTCATCGTTTTTTGTAAAGTATTATGGTGCTGGGTGTATACTGTTTAGAGCTAGAAGAAGAGAATACTAGCCTCATTTGAATCTTAATTTTTTAGATCTCTTTTCCCCAACACACCAGAGCTTTAAAATATCTACATCCTCTATTTCTCAATAAATATATGGAGGTTGCGAAAGGGTAGGGTTCAAGGTTTTATGATAATTGTTACGTTGCCTATCACAAGAATCCCTTGGAGGCTTAGTATTGTAGATATTTATAACCTGAAAGTAATGTAGCTGGTTTGCTGATGTATATTACTTATCATAGAGCTGTACGGTAAAGTAACATCATTCTAATGTTCTCTGTTACTGCAGGCAACAACTGAGCAACCTTTTATACAGAAGCTCTTCCGTCCTGTTGCGGCAGATGGACAGCTAAATACTCTGGGAGATCTCCTAAAAGAAGTTTGTCCTGCTGCTATTAATCCTGAAGGTACTATATGATATACCCATGCTTCCTTATTTGTAGTCATGTTTCATTTTCTTAACTTTCAAAACCTTTTAAAATCAGCTGGTCTTGAAAAATAATTGCTGAGCTAATAAAAATAAGTTGAAGCATAATCATTTTGAAAACTGTCTTACAGAATATAGATGTGGAAACCACATATCTGTTTATATGTATGAGTGTACCATATTTAGCCAGATGATTGTGGGTAGGGGTGCTTAAATACTGCAATAGCTAAGTGAGCCTTCATTTGAAATTGGAATTAGATTTGATTGTATTGACTTACATTGTATGCAGTCTGCCTTGAATCACAGTGAAAGTGGCGATCTGTAAATAATGTAAATAAAAATTTCCAATTTTATTAATACATTTCCAATTCTATTAATACATTTACTAAGCAAGCATACATAGTATGTGGTCTCTATAACTAAAACTGTTTGCAACTAAATAGGCCTTATACTATCCAGGAGCATCTCAAAACTTTGATTCATACCACCTACGTACCATTTACATTACAAAATATGTTTGCTTAGGAAAACAGCTGTGAAATTAAGGATTTCTGCTTGCACATTCTCTCCTGACCTCTCTCCACTGACTTGCTGGTATAATCCCATTAATAAGGAGGAGGAGCAGCAGGTGGGGGTGGGGCTGAAAGGGCAGAATGTCTCTGGATCTGAGATTGGCAGGATTTCCTGAGCCAGCTTGGTTGTCACAAGTTACTCTGGGGCTGTAGGGGCTGATTCTCTGACAAGGTCATGGACACGGAGTCTGTGTATAAAGTGCCCACAAGCTTGTCTCAGTGATAGTGTTGGTGTCAGACCTGACATATGCAAGTGAGAGGGGAGGAAGGCTGCTATTATCACACCTGGCTTCTGTAGTGGTAACTTAATAGGTCCTTGGGTAGTTTGGAAATTAGGTAACTTTACTTCTGCATTGCACTTCATTTAATTATTTAACCATATGACACTAGCCATCCTAAAAACATTACCTTTCTTGTCATAGACTGATAACAATGAGAAGTCAAGAAAGACAATTTTAGAATGATTGACATATGAAGGATCCTTCCTGGAGTGACTTTGGGTACAGTGGATGCTCAGAAATACAAAGTCATCTTACCATAGGTTGGGGTGGCTGGAAGTCAGCACAGCAAGCTTTTTTTTTCATCTGTGGCTTCTTTGCTCATTTGAAAAAGGCCTGTAATTTATCTTTTATTCAGAAGTTATGTTGCCACTGCATTTATTTCCTTTTTAACAAAGGTTCCCATCAAAGCATGCCATTATATCTTCTGCTCTCAATTCTTCAGTTTTAACTGTGGCCAAATTTAATAAATATTTAATCCTTAGATCTTTAAAAATTGTGTGTGCAAATGGTTGTTGATGTTGTGTAACTCATTATGACTTGACCATTTATTTTCACTGGGTAGAAGCCCGGAAGAAGTTTGAGGGTTTGTATTTCTGAACGGCACTTCCCTTCTGTTTGTGATCACAGGATAAAAGCTCTCTAGTCTTATATGTGTACTTTTTTACTGCTACATCATGTAGTGTGCTCTTAAGATTGAGATCTCATTCCCCAGGAAGCATTTTCTGCTTAAGATTAATTGCCCTTTTAAAGTCTGTGTTTGATGTATTTCTTTGGCTGACTATATCCTGACTCAGTTTAACCCTCTTTGACCTGACCTCACTGAGTATTACCACCATGACTGAGGTAGAAAACCTTCAACATGATGTATGCAGTACAGATCCCAAGCCTGTGGTTCTTTAGAACTTGGATTCAATTAGCTGAATTTTTTTGCTGATTCACAGAAGTAAAAAGTGTCTTTTCAGACTTCCGTATTTTAATGCCAAGCCGTGAATAGATATTCCTAGTGGTATTATATACCATAATATTTTTTACTGACACTGTTCAGTCAACTAGAGAAAACGTAAGAAAGGATAATTCTACCATTGTCTCTATCTGTGATAATAGGGAGAGCATTGCTCTTCCTTACAAAACCTTTGGCTCAAATTCCTAGATTTGGACAAGACAAAATGGGCTACTATGGTCCTTCTTTGTCCTTGTTTGCAGAGGTATAGCCTCAGCATTGAATGTAAATTAAATTTGTGTTCTGCAGTGTATTTCATATGATAAATCTTTCTATCGAATCTGTATGAAACCATTTTAATGGGTTTATATTATCAGTTTTCACTTCTTTGGACACTGCTGAAGTCCAGTAAGTTGTGTGGGTGGCTACTTGTGCCATGTGAAACTGTTTTCATACAAGTGCATTTTAAACAGGCATCCATGATGTTTCTCAGAGATATAAATCAGGCTTGACTTGAGGCTGTATCAAAACTTCTCCCCTAGATTTAATTTATGTTTCAGTCGTTTGATGAAACTGCCACCGATTTTTCATCTGTAATTAGTGTATTCACTTTCCCCCAAAGGAACAGTGGAGTAGCTTTCTAAACTTGCAGGAATTGTTAAATGCTCAGGCTTAAATTGGCAAGCATGTACAAGAACTTTCTAATGTCTGTTTTGTGTGTACTTTGGGATTTTAGAATTGTCATTATGTCTCTTAGTTCTGTAATTTTTTCAAAAAGTAGCAACTTAAAAGCTTTCCACACCCCTCCCAGCTTCTACCCACTCAGTTCCTCCTTATAGGTGCCTCTTTTTACACATACCCTGCCCAATACTACTGCACATGCCCTCTACCTTCTTTTGGAAACCCTCAGCCTTGACTATGGATAGGTAGTTACAAATCAAATATGCAGAACTGTTTAAACTATGCTTGCCATTCATTCCTGTTAGTATACCATATTCCGTAGTGGTTCCATTCTCTCCCTTCCCTTTCATTTTATATTGAGATGTTACATTTGTGATGTGAACCATATTTACCCGGAAGTACTAATGAAATCTAAGTAAATTTCTTCTAGGATGCTTCCTAAAGCCCTAGTTAACAACAGTTATGATTTGTGTAACATAAAGAAACAAATCCATTTGCAGCTGCTTTAAGCTAGAATTGGTAAAAGCTTTGGACAAAAAAAATTATAAATAAATGGAAATTTGCATGGTACTGAAATTTTAGTATGAACTTTCTCTTTTAGAATGTTATGAATTCAAGTTTGGTACATTCTCTGTGATAGTTTCTTACTGCTCATGCAGTTAATTGTGCAATAACAATACAATGATCAGTTCTGGAAATGAAGGTTCTAAAGAATTTCAGTGTGTAATGAAACAATGCTTGTTGCTTGAAACCTGTCTTAGTCTGTAGATGTCTGATTAGTTGTCTGTCTTTCTTGGAATTAGATGGTGAAAAGAATCAAGTGGTGATTCATGGAATAGAACCAATGTTGGAGACACCAGTACAGTGGCTAAGTGAGCATATGAGTTACCCTGATAATTTTCTGCACATCAGCGTCCTCCCCCAACCTGCAGATTGAAATGTTGGCTTGTGTGTACGAAGATCACTCTTGGATTGGAACTACAAAGTTAACTGTTAACTTCCATCAGTCATGGTGGGGACAACCTGATCAGAAAACGTTTCTACTGCAAGTTAAACAGAAAGAAAGATCCTGTCATGAGAGATCAGGAATCGTACTGGCCATATTTTGCATCACCCACGATTTTCTTCACTGCTGTCATTGCAATTGTGACATGAGAAACTTTATAAGACCTCTGCAAGTGATCATCTCTTTTCTTGTTAAGATAATATAATTGAAAGCATGGAAAATGTGGAAATATGTGCCACTTTGTATTTCTTACTAATCAATAAACAAGGGTATTTTCTAAAGTTTTGGTGGGTTTTTCCCCTCAAGAGTGAACCCTGGTTTAGTCTAGAAAATTAGCCAAGGAATTATTTTTGTTAACTTGCAGGATTTCTTTATAAAGATTTTCCTTCATTCCTGAGAAATGTTTTTGGAGACACACGGGCTGCTTGGGGGATGTAGGGGAAGATCTATTTTGTCAGTTCCTTCTGTGAGCTTTAGGCTCTTGTGTTGTATTACTTATACATTGCTCCTGGAGAATTCTAACATGTCTGTATCATCTAGAAAGTGTTCAGAGTATGATGTGTGATACCCTTATCACAATGTATTACAAATAAGTCCAAGAAAATATTAAACTACGTAATGGATTTATACCCAGCACTGTGTTACAAAGATTTCCCTCTTGCCAAACAGTTAATCAGCATAAATTGCCTTGGTTTGGTCTCTTAAGAAGTGATTGGAGTTGAAAGTGTGACCATGTATTAAAAAACATACCTCCAGATACAGGATTTTTCCTCCTTTCCAAGAGGTTCCCCTTCTGACTGTTTGAGCCTCTCCATCCAAATTAGTTCTATGCAGGGCTCTTTTTGTAGAAAAAGCCCAGCAGGAACTCATTAGCATAATAGGCCACACCCAACAGCAAAACTCATTAGCATATTAGGCCACACCCTGACAGCACCGCTCATTAGCACATTAAGCCACACCCCCATGCTATCAGAAGTGTGGTCATCCAGCCACACCCACCTTTCCCTTCTTATTCTGTTTACCTTGTTTGTTGTCAAAACCCAGGGCTTTTTTTGGAGCAGGAACTCCTTTGTATGTTAGGCCACACACCCCTGATGTAGCTAATCCTAATGAGTTCCTGCTATTGGGTGTGGCCTATTATTCTAATGAGTTCCTGCTGGGCGTGGCCAACTCAGGAGCCAGCCGGAACTCTGTTCCTGTGCGTTCCTGCCCAAAAATAGCCCTGGTTCTATGTTTAGAAACTTGTCATGAAACAGCAGAGTAATGTGGTACTGTTTCTGCCATAATAGAGGGACACAAGGGCACTTCCAGGAAGAACTGGGATATAGAATTCATCACTGAAAGACTAAAACTGAAATCCCTACATCCCTTCATTTAAAAACAACAACAACCTGTCTTCCAAACTTAAAAATTCTTAACCAGAGCTAACTCTGGAGAGAGAGGAGCAGAGTCCTGCTAGATCTAGCTGGGGATGGGGGGAGTTGAGAACCCAAGCAGTTAGTCCAATGTCAGTTTCACTTTTGAAACTTCTAGAAGGGGGGATGTTGAGCAAAGTGCAGGAAGGCTGCTGCTAAGGCAGGTACTCACCTTTGCTGTTCTTGTGTATGAAGTATGAAGTAATGTCAGATGTGAAACAAAGAGACCTAAATACCTACTCAACCATGGTGTTTGCTAGGTGATTTTGAGACCATGGCTACCTCTCAGCAGCTGTGGGGGATGACTTTTAAAAATGGGGTTGGAATGCCGCCATGGGAGGGAGGGCTCCTGCCTGAAGAAATGTAATTTTATTTAGTGAGAAACAACTGTTTTACAGGCCACATGGGAGCGGGGAGCAGTAGGCAGTGCAATATAGCATAGTTTGGGGTAGTGAGTCACATACAAAGAAAGGTACAAAATAAAGAGGAGGTAAAGTAACTAACCGAAGAAAGCAGACAGTAGAAAGAAAACAAAATAGGGAATGAGTTCATCCAAGGGAGCCTGCCTAGAGTGTCCTGAAGAGGCTGCCAGTGGTAGGCTAGACCCTCTTCGCATCTCAAACTTTGGCAGGATGGATGGATTGGAGAGGATGAGAATATGCTGGTGACAGATGTAGGAAGCAGCACTCAGGATCAGAACCAGTGACTATTAACCACACAAAGGTAACGTTGTTCAGAAAATACAGTGCCAGCACAAATAATTTAAGAAGTAATTGAAAAAGGCAATAAATAAAAATATAATCAACCAAACAGTAAGTTGCTTTTTGTAAGTTGTATTTTTGTATTTTTCCCCCTGAGAACATAATAGCTTGATGCCTAGATGTGACATTATACAGCACCTTTCTTTCACTGTTCTCTACCCATCAGACACCACACTAATGTGATGAAATAATTCCTATTTGGGTTTTTTTTTAAGATGAAGGACAGCATTGCTTTGCAGCATTAGGGGCTGATGATTTGTTTTAATAATTTGCCAGAACATGTGAAAATAATTATTAATAAAGATGAAACACTGACTTTTAAGTTCCCACGCTCTGACAGTTTGCATCTGGAGTTATGGAACCTTCTGCACAGTGGTGCAAAAGGAGGTGGCACTCCAGTAAGTTTTAAATGTATACAGAGTCTGCATTAGCGTTTAGGAGTATAAATTTGATCTGGTTCAGTTTGTAGTCCCTTTCATTTTTTTGCACTTTCCTTTTGAAACAAAAAGAAAGTGCTATGCCAGCTCATGTGTTAACTAAAAAATAGATTTGTAGTTGGTCTGTCAAAAGCACGCAAAGCATATTTTCATGCATAAAGGGATTCCCTTTTTGCATTTTGCTTCTGGCATTTAATGTTATGACTAGACAGTATGAGGCAACTTTTCACAACTCATAAATACAAGCAGATTTCAAAAACCTTTTAAAGAAGGTATTTTAATTCAGAGCTATGCCACTTCACAGTTCCAGATTATTGGACCAAATTCTGATAAAGATGAGGTTAAGAGTGGAAGTATTGTTTTCACCTGGGGCCTGATATAAGCCATACTGAGCTGGCAAACTGTTGTGGCTTGTGTGTGGTTTTCCTTAAATAAATGGGGAAGGTGAATAATGCATAGTCAGATTACCAAATATCAAGGCATGGAGACGTTCTCATAAGCATGATGATTCCAGGAAGACTCATCATGGAGACAAACTCTTACAGTGCCGTTTGTCATTTAATCTGGAGGAAATCAACGACCTCTTCCACAGAAGGAATTTAAATACTACCACTAGCCTGCAGAGGTAATTATTTTTATGATAATCAAGAACCTTGAGACATTTTAAAGTTTTTGGTTGGAAAACTAATGCCCAGACATGCCTTCTTCTCAAGTTTTATATGTTCCAATGCTGCTTCTGGGAAGAAATAGAAGAAAAGGATTAATGGAGGGGGAGGTATATGTTCATATTCATCACACTTCAGAAGAACTGATAAGAGGAGGAAAAGAGATAGGTGTAGAGGAAATTGAGTATAACAAGAATACATGATTCATTTATTTAGTACAATAGAAAGTTGCCTGCCTGCGTATAATGAGGTCACAGCTAACATTCAGTGCTGTTTCAGTGGGTTGAGAGAGTTTGGGATTTTTAATTCATGCTGTTTCAGGAAAGTCTCATGTGGCACATGCCATTGAAGGTAGGGGAAGTAATTCTGATACCAAAAGCTATAAAACCACTCTTGATTTTCATCTACAACTCCAGAAAAGATAATCATATCAGCTGCTAGAATTACCAACCCCCCAAAAGCTTTTATTGTAGCTTTGAGGTGGCTCCCAAGAAAGGTATTATGTTTTCATGGTATTTTCCACTTGATATGTGTTTTTTACCAGTTGTTTAGAGCCAGTACAGATGCATGATGGAGGAAGTGAATCTAGAGTAATTTAAGGTAATTTAAGGCAAGAGTAGCTAGCCCTTCTTGGCAACTAACCTCCCCCCACCTAGATGTAATGCTTGGTGAAGTCTGTTTTAATGTATCTGAAGTGCTAATGCACCCAAAAGCTTATACCCAGAATTAAACACTGTTGGTCGTAAAGGTGCCACTGGACTCAAACTTTGTTAAGGTTTTTTGTTTATATGATATCTAATCAAAATTCAAGCCAAGTATACCTCCTTTGTTAATTTTGGAAAGCTAATTAATCTGAATATTTAGACATTTCTTTTTCTGGACTTGTGGGCCTGGTTCACACATGATATTCATCATGAGCATTTGTAAAACATCAAAGTACACTTTGCATTGGTGAATGGAACACTCCTTAACTCCTCACCTCACTTCAAAGTAAGGATATTAATTGAATGAAATCATTGGATGCATTCAACAACCCATGATTTCTGCACTAATTAAGTGTACTGTAAGCCAAGTATAATACATAGATGTGTAAATAGATTCTGCCCATCCCAGACGTTTCCCCTTTCTTTCAGGTTACCAACCTCCAGGTGGAGATTTCCCAGAATTGCAACTGATCTCCAAACGACAGAGATCAGTTCCCTTGGAGAAAACAGCAGCTTTGGAGGGTGGACTTTATGGAATCATAGGTCCCTCCCTTCTTCAAGCTCCTTCCTCCCCAAGCTCCACCCCCAAATCTCCAGGAATTACCGAATCTGGAGCTGGCAATCCTACTTTTCTCCCTTTGTGTTTTGTAGGTGAAATTAAACTATATTATTTCTAACATGGGAGTGTGAGTCTGTTTTAAAAAGTGTAAAAATAAAGCACCATCTTTAAAAAGTATTTGAAGAAGTAATCCTTATAAACTGACTGAAACACTTAACTTTAAATGTTAGACAATATGTAACTTTGCCTAGGCTGAAATGGAGTTGTGTAAACATCTAACCCTAGTTTGATGACTGAGAAATTATGAAATTACTTCTTGTTCAACTTTTTATTTTCCAAGAGAATATGCGCTGCTAAGTGTCTGTGTTGTAGAGGTCAGCTTCTCAAGCCAACGTTGGTGTTGGCCACATCCAATTTATACTTTGAGCAAGTGAGCACACCCTTAGGAAGACTAGGGAACTTTTGAGGACAAATCAAATTTTCAAAGGCAATTTATATCTTAAGTAGAATACAAGGGATAGGAGGGGGTTACATGACTCTTCTTTTCCTGCTTCTGCAAGCCTGATTAAAGATAAAATATGAAGTATTTTGCAGTGGAGCATGACACATTTTTCCCCTTTGAAATTTACCATTAAACTGGTAAAGTATTCTTTTTCTTTTCTTTTTCCTTTGCTTTACATCTGACATGTGCCATTTCAGAAAGACAGCTATGGTCATACTTCAAGAAAGAAAACGTGTGTTGCTCTCTCTCAAATGAAATTAGCTGGTTAACTTAGCTTATATATTTCACTCTTTATACAATGGGAACCCAAAGCACCATATGTTCTTCCCTCCATTTTATTCTCATAACAGTGGCCCAAGGTCACCCAGCCAGCTTCCATGGTCTCTCAGTCTGACACTCCAGCCACTATATAAGGTTGTGTGCTGTTTTTTAAAGAGAGCAACAGTTGGCCACCATAGCATATTTATTCATACAGAATTAGGAAACATTTCCATTGTTTCTTGGTTTGCAGGTTTGTGTAGGTGTAAAGAATCCACTCTGAAACAAGACACAGGCTGAACAGGAATCAGCTCTAGAATGAGTGTGTGGGTTTTTTTAAAAAAAGTGGGATATGAGGAAAATTAATCCTAATCATGACTAAGAGAAATCCTAATTAATTGTAATCATGACTAAGAGAATTCTAAGCAGAGTTACACCCTTCTAAGCATATAGACGTCAATGGATTTTGAAGAGTGTAATTCTGTTTAGGATTGTACTGCAGATTACTTAATTATAACCTTTAAATGATCAATGATCTCTCATCTGGCTATTCAGAAGGAACTTCACTTTTAACAAGTAGGAAG